CCAAAGAAATTTAATACCAAATTTAAGGAATTTAATACCAAAGAAATCATTGGTCAGGCTTGGAAGAATGGAATACCAAAGAAATTTAATTCCCAATTTAAGGAATTTAATGCCAAAGAAACCATTAATCAGACTTGGAAGAACAGAAGAAGAACAAGTGAATTATAATCAGAGTGACCATGAGGTAGCAAATCTTAGGGGGGAATTTTCACTTTACATAGAAAGTGAGACCATGGAAAGGTTTTACTCATGTCTCTAATACCAAAGAAGTCATTAATCTACCCTCTAAATATCCTGTTATTAGCTTGAAGACTTAATATGCCTAATTAGATCTATTTCCAAAGAATTAATGCTGTTCAACTGATGGAGAGCTGTTTATCAGTGTTTTATTCAGATAAAGAGTACAAAATTAAACCATGCAGTGAAGATAGTTATTGTGCAGGATGTTCAGCACACCCAGCTCTGGGTGATGTACCTGCTCAGGGTGTTGATAATAAAGGCTGTTTTTCTCCCTTTGAAATGTCCCCCTCTGCTTTGCAGCCAGCTGTGAACTGGGTGGTGCCAGTGGCTGAAAAAGTGAGATACGATGAGATTTTCTTAAAAACGGACACAGACATGGATGGGTTTGTGAGTGGCCAAGAAGTAAAGGACATTTTTATGCATTCAGGTCTGTCTCAGAATCTCCTAGCACATATATGGTAAGAATTCCCTAGCAGGTGTGTTTTTGTAATTATTTATCCAGCCAGAATTGTGGGCCTAACATTAAAAAAAAACCCCAGAAACAACCCAAAAACCCAACCTTTTCCACATGTCCTGTTACCATCCTGCAATGTGTGGAAAATGAAGGGAGAAATAAATACTCCCTTTGCTTTTCTGGGAGGGGGGGAATAGGTCAGTCTGTGAACTGTGATTGTCTTTTGAAGTTTTAGTGCTTTAAATATTTTCTCAGAGCAACACTGCTCCATTCAGTTAAACATGTCTAATAAAATCCTGCTCTGTTTGTGGAACTCTCACTAGAATAAGCAAGCTCTGCTGAGGATGAATCAAAAGGAAATTACATGTATATGTGTATTTGGGGCTTTTTGGTAGAGGAGAAATAAGATTTTTTTTGTTTATAAGGGGGATCTGTTTTTTTTTACCAGGGCTTTGGCAGACACGAGGCAGATGGGGAAGCTCAGCAAAGACCAGTTTGCACTTGCCATGTATCTCATTCAACAGAAGGTCAGCAAAGGGATTGATCCTCCCCAAGTGTTATCCCCAGATATGATCCCTCCCACAGAGAGGAACACTCCCATCCAGGTAAGTCAGTGATTATTTGTGGATAACTCTGAATTTACGTGCTTTGAAATGGGTTTTAAATAGGAATTTTGTACATTTTTTTTTAAATATCTTGGTAAAGAATTGCCAATATTTTTTTCCTACCTTCTCTTACAAATTTCTTTAACATTTGAAAATAAATGTAAATTTCTAACAACTAAGACTGTAAGTAAAGAAAAATGCAGTAAAATATTCCATAAAATAAACTATTCCATAAAAGGAGTCATAATGCTGAAAAAAGTCTAGCATGAAAAATACTCCTTTGTCATAGAGGAGGGTTTTTTCTTAATTTTTTAAATTTTAAAAATATTTTTATTTTAACAATATATAAATTATCATATAGATGTACATATTTATATATTATCTCTCTCTATAATTTTAACTTTGGGGAACTCATAACAGCAAATATTAAAAGCTGGTTGAGTATCCTGTCCCTGACTGTGATCAGCACCAAATTCCTCTGTAGAAATGTCAAATTTTTTAATGGCTAAGTGAAGAGTGGTGACTTCCTATTTTCTGGGATTCATCCCTTGAATCATGCCAGTCCACACTCCTGCATCCATCACTGCTAACACCACTTGACAGGAGCATCTGAGCCTTTGCTAAACTTTGCTCAACTCTGCTTTATTCCTTTCCTCCACACTATATTTCTGAAAATGAGATGAATAAACACTCTGTCCTGTCAATACCTTCCTCTTTTCTATAAGCTACACTGTATTTTTCTTTACTTTTTTTTTCGCTTTCCCTAACCAGAAACCTTTTGGAGCTCTAAATAACTTAACTGTTGCTGTTGCTGTGGTCCTTTTAAGGTTTCTCCTGTGTCCTTTTCCTGTAGACTCTGTCAGGTTACTTGACCCCTGTAGGAACTGAGATCTCAGCCCTCTCAGAGATGCGGCGTGTGAGTAACTGGGACACCCAAAGGAATGCCCTTTTTTTTGTGTCTGATGCTGCTGACTCCAAAACCTGGTTTTATTTCTCCACCTTTGCCTGTCTCTGCTCTTGAATTCTGTACCACTTGCCCTTGGCATGATGGGGTGTCACAGCAGTGTGAAGGGCCCAGCACTGGCTGCTGACCTGGTGATATTTATTCCCTCAGCAATTGCTCTGCCAGGAAGTTTCTGGGACAGGAACAGTTGAAGTTACTCATGGATTAGTTCTCTGAAATTATGAGCAGTAAATACATCTTTAAGCTTCCCATTATTTCCAACTAATTGTAATTTTTTTCCACCTAATGTGTATTTAGCTGAGCATAACATGAAATAAACTGAGCTTTATTTAGTTGAGCATAACATGAAATAAACTGAGCTTTATTTAGTTGAACATAACATGAAATAAACTGAGCTTAGTGAGCTTAGTTAAGTGGTTCTTATCCTAAGCAATGCAGCAGCTCATTTTAACTTATTTCACAGTCATGTTGGGTGACACCTTCCTGTGACCCTGTCCAGCATTCAGTGCAGGTCTCTCAGCAAATCTCTATCTGGCCTGACAAAATCAAAGTGATATTAGAAGCTTTTGAGTTGCTTCCTTGAAGAATTAGCCTGGATTATTTTTTATTTATGATGACATAATGGCATGTTACAAAAGAAATGATCACCCAAAATGAGGACTTAATTAAATTAAATTTAATTTAATTTTTTAAACTGTATACTCAGCTGTTGTTTCTACAAAAATGTCACCTTTTAGTCTGCTGATTTTGATTTACTGGTTAGGTTCTTGTTTAGTTTTTTATGTTTAATAAAGCCAAGCTTTCTGTGGTTATCACAGCAACCTCGAAGTGAGCGAAGCAAACAAACTGTACTTTCTTCTTTTTAAAATGCTATTTAAAAATTGTAGGTCTCCTGTTTTTTCATGCTAACAGGGAGTTCAGTGCTGCAGTTTTTGCTCAGTTGCAGTGGGTTTTCTTAGAGCAGTCCTTTTTATAGTAATAACCAATTTTGTACCTGGTGCTGAGATCCTTTCTTAATGACTTCTGACAGTGTTATCTGAAAGACAAGGGTGCCCTCTGCATCTTCCCTGAGCTACCCCTGAATGGGTGCAGAAATGACCTGAATAACTGCAGAACTTACCATGAATTTGTGGCAGGGCTCAAGAAGACTGAAATGACAATCTACTGTCCTTGAGTTCCCTGGAAACTTTACTACTGACTGTAGCAGAGCTGGGGTTTAGGTTTTGAATTTGAATTTGAATTCTCCCATAGCCTGCAGTTTATTTGTTCCCATTGTGCATGTCCTCTCACTGCTGTGTGTGTCCCAACTCTCCTGTCTGTTAAACAGCCCCAGAGACAATTCTCCTGTCCCTCAGGTGGAATTGCTTGGCATGTTCCTGCTTGTTGCACAATAATTTGATGTGTCTCACAGCACTTTGCAAAATCATATCATGAGGATTTCATATCCCACCTCTGTCCTCAGCCTTTGGAAAGGAAGAGCTTCTGTTACCACCCAACATTTTAATTGACTGTTTCATTCTTAACAGGACAGTGCAAGTTCTGTTGGATCAGGAGAATTCACAGGAGTGAAGGAGCTGGATGATATTAGCCAAGAAATCGCTCAGCTGCAGAGGTAAAGTTGTGGATTGTTAACAAAATCTTGAGCAATAACCAAACAAGTCTATAGTACTGAGGTGTCAGTTACTTTTGTTTTCTTTTAGCCATTTTAGAGTTTTATTTGTCACTGAAATTGGTGACAGATCTCCCACTGATAACTTACAGTTATGCAAAGCCAACCTGGATTCTACCAGGTGACTTCAGGACATTGATTATGGTCACAGATAATATTTTTCAAAGAATAATTGATACATATAAACCTTTACTCCTTTAAAAAAATAGATGAGAATATGTGCTGGCTTTTTTAGCTACGTGGTATTTCCAGAATAATATTGAATTGATTTTTGTGTGTATTGTATTATTTAACTAATAATAAATACATGTGCTTGTTTATCTGACAGAGAAAAGTATTCACTAGAGCAGGACATTAGGGAAAAAGAAGAATCAATCAGACAGAAAACCAATGAAGTTCAGGTAAAATCTTTGGTTTATCCTTAGTAGCTTCATTTTAATCCAAATAATATATGGGAATTAAGCATTTTTCATGTGTTTATGTTGCTGCTGGGCAAGTCTTCCTTTCTTTCATGGGATTTTCCTCTGACTTACAGAAAGAATTTTATTTTCCTGTTCTCCATCAGAAATGTTTTCATCTGATGCTGATTAATACAAAGATGATATGTGAACAATTTGAAAGTTGTTTTTTTTTAGTGCTTAACTAAGACTGTAATTTAGGAAAACATTATTCAAGAGTATTGGTTTTGATAATCAGGATATAACTCAATGCCACGTGCACTGATTTATTTCCTGCTGTCTCATACAAGTTCCTGCAGAAATAAAACAGCTGCAGGGGCCTAGAAAATCTTTGGGGTTTTGCAAAAGCTGATCATTCCTTGAGGCAGCAGCTAAATGTAAACTCCAAACTGTGGGATTTTCCTCAGGAACTGCAGAATGACTTAGACAGGGAGACAAGTACCTTGCAGGAGCTGGAGGCTCAGAAACAAGATGCCCAGGACAGGCTGGATGAGATGGACCAGCAGAAAGCCAAGCTGAAGGATATGCTCAATGATGTCAGGCAGAAATGCCAGGAAGAAACCCAGGTGGTGAGTGTGTGTTAATTCTGGACATGCCCAACGGTGGTTTTGTCTTCTTGTTGAAGGAAATTCTATTTATTTAATGAAAAAACTTGCTTTCTCTGTTCGTTTTGACCGTAAATAGCAATTTCCACACAAATACAGAGGTCCAAGAAAGGGTTTTGCTCCCCTGAATACCTCTCATTGTGGTGGTTGAGGCAGATGATCTCCAAGGGGCCCTTTCTACAGAAATTGTTGTTGTTCTGAGAATATAGAAAACATTTATTCGACCTAATAAGGCAATTGAAAAGCATCAGAGACAATCCCTGGCAATGGTGCAGGTTTTGAACCTCTGAAGGTCACCAGTGTTGAGTTAAAAGTGGGTTTTCAGGGAGATACAATTGCCAATGGAAATAGCAGGTTACCTTAAGGTAGAAACTCTGTAACACTGTGTGAGAAAGTGTTGAAGAAAGAAGTGTATAAGCAACTCTGTTAATTTAAACTCTTACCATGGTTAAAAATCAACTTCATGCTCCTTGATAAATGTTTGAATGGAAAAGGAACCAGGTTCTGAAAACCTGGTCTAAGAAACACCTGCTAATTACCTGTGTAATTAATGTGGTATTTCTGTGATTTAAAATAGTATTTCTTGGTTTTATTGATTGTGCTTTTATCATGGATTTTGTGCAACATCAGAAGCAGCACAAATTTCTTCATCTTAAGTTCTAACTATTTTCCTTAGCAATTGATAGGTTGCTGTACAACTTCCTGTTATTTATATTATAAATTCGTAATTTAATAAGTTAACATTTATTTCAAATTTCACTTTTTTTCAGATTTCATCACTGAAAATGCAGATTCAATCTCAGGAATCAGATTTAAAATTACAGGAAGATGACCTCAACAGAGCAAAAGCAGAGCTGAACCGCCTGCAGCAGGAAGAGACTCAGCTAGAGCAGAGTATCCAGGCTGGAAAAGTGCAGCTTGAAACAATAATCAAATCTTTAAAATCAACACAAGAAGAAATAAACCAGGTATTCACTGTGGTTTATACAATTCTTGAAAGGCTGGGTTGAACATCACCTGGAAGGATTTATTTTTAGAAGAGAAAACAAGT